TAAGAACCAACTCCTCATCAGTTGAAGTTTATCATGAAATGCAGCAATTCAGTCCCATCTTTAGGCTTCACTTCTAATTCTAGTTCTCTTGCTATTTCCACCACATCTGCAGTTACCCCTCCACTGATGTCGTAACCCCTCAAAGTCATCCAAGAGGGTTGGAATCAACTTCTCCCAAACTCCTGTTACTGTTGATATTTTGACCTTTTCCTATGAATCACAGATGTTCTTAATGGCATCTAGAATGGTGAATCTTTCTCAGAAGGTTTTCAATTGACTTTGCCCAGGTCCATCAGAATAATCACTATCTATGGCAACTATATCCTTGTGAAATGTATTTCTTAAATAATAAGGCTTGAAAGTCAAAGTTACTCCTTGGTCCGTGGGCTTTGGAATGGATGTTGTGCTAGCAGACATGAAAACAACGTTAATCTCATTGTCCATCTCCATCAGAGCTTTTGGGTGACCAGGTGCATTGTCAATGAGCAGTAATATTTTGAATATAATCTTTTATTCTGAGTAGTAATCTCAACAGTGGGCTTAAAATATTCAGTAAACCATGTTTGTAAACAGATGTGCTAGCATCCAAGCTTTGTTGTTCCATTTATAGGGTATAGGCAGAAAAATTTAGCATAATTCTTTGGGGCCCTAGGATTTGGGGAATGGTAAATGAGCATTGGCTTTAACTTAAAGTCACCATCTGTATTAGTCCCTAATAAGAGAGTCAGCCTGTCCTTTGAAGCTTTGAAACCAGGCATTGACTTCTCTCTAGCTGTGCAAGTCCTAGATGGAATCTTTTTCCATGATGAGGCTGTTTTGTCTACATTGAAAATCTGTTGTTAGTGTAGCCACATTCGTTAATGATCTTAGCCAGATCTTCTGGGTAACTTCAGCTTCTCCATCAGCACATGCTGCTTCGCCTTGCACTTTTATGTTACAGAGATGGCTTCTTTCCTTAAAACTCATGAACCAACCTCTGCTGGCTTCAGACTTTTCTTCTGCAGCTTCCTCACCTTGCTCAGCCTTCATAGAACTGAAGAGAGTAAGACCTTGCTCTGGATCAGGCTTTGGGCTAAGGTTGTGGCTGGTTTGATCTTCTATCCAGACCGCTAAAACTTTCTCCGTATTATCAATAAGGCTGTTTCTCTTTCTCATTATTCGTGTGTTCACTAAGTATCACGTTTAATTTCCTTCAAGAACTTTTCCTTTGCATTCACAACTTGGCTAACTGGTGCAAGAGGGCCCTGCTTTCAGCCTATCTCGTATTTCAACAAGCCTTCCTCACTAAGCTTAATCATCCCTAGCTTTAGATTTAAAGTAAGAGACGTGGACTTTTCCATTCACTTGAACACTAAAGGCCATGGTAGGGCTGTTAAGTGGCCTGATTTCAAAATTGTTGTGTCTCAGGGAATAGGGAGGCCCGAGAAGAGGGAGAAAGATGGGGAAACGGCAGTCTACGGATCAATCATAACACACACATATATTGATTAAGTTCCCCGTCTTATATGGGCACGGTTCATGGTGCCCCTAAACAATTACAATAGTAACATCAAAGACCTCTGATCACAGATCACCATGATATAATATAATATAATATAATATAATATAATATAATGTAATATAATATAATATGTAATATAACGATATATGTAACAAAATAAAGATAACAATATAACAAATCTAATAATAAAAGTTTGGAAAATTGTGTGAATTACCAAAATGTGACACAGAGACACAAAGTGAGCAAATGCTGTTGGAAAATGGTGCCAGTAAGCTTGCTCAGTGCAGAGTTGCCACGAACCTTCAATTTGTAAAAAAATAATAATAATAAAAATGCAGTGTCTGTGAAGCATGATGAAGCAAAGTGCACTAGAATGAGGAGTGCCTGTATGGGAACGCACAAAGCTTTCCACTTCCAGCTAACAATCCCAGTAGAACTTTCTAGGATCGTTAGCTAGAAATTGAAAGAGTTGTGCATTCCCATACTCTCGTCTCACTGATCTGTCTACACCTATGATAATCCCATATAATAACTTTATAGTATATTTTAACATCTGGTAGGACAAGTCCCTCCCCATGGTAATCTTTTTCAAAATGTCTCAGTTATTTGCATACATGGTCTCTTCTACATGAATTTTAGAATGGGCTTGTCAAGTTTAATTTTTNGCCGGCCCAACATGTTGGGTTTCTTAAGAGTTTGTTGATATCCAGAAATCTTTTTAAGAGCATCTCTTTATAAGCCTCCTTCAGGCTCCAGGGCCCACGCACCAAGCCAGTCACCACCACAACTTAGAGATGAAAGGTGTCCATTTCAGCCTAAAACCCAGGAAACAGTTTTGAGTGAGACTCACTGGATTTTTCTGGCTGCATCTCCCGCATATGCAGGAGAATGGGGCTAAGAGAGCTACTGTCTGTTTCTGGGTGTTTTCTCCATAGATTCAAAGAGCCTTGCATCCGCTGGTCCCATCTCACCAGTTTTCATAGTTTACAGAGCAGAACTGAAGTTCTTTCAGATGCTTTGATGCTTTGGACAATTGCCAGAGCTTTGGTCTGCATTCCGGTCCCCCCGCCCTGCTCCCCCCTCCCGCACTGCCTTGGGTAACCTGCCTGCTGCTGTCATTTGCAGAACTTATGTCATTTCTCTGCAGGCCCAAAGCAGAAAACATTTTTAAAAATGATTTTGCTGCTCTTTGCAGGGTGGATAGGAGGGTATCCTATAATAGGTGTATTATGGCATCTGTTTTCCATCCACAGGATGAATTATTTTCTAGCTTTTTAAAAAAGCAAGCCTTGGAAAGGTCACACTTTGGGGTTTGCCAATTACAAGGTGCTGCAGTGGAGGCTCCAGTGCGTGCAGGCAGCCCCTGGTTTGAATGGTGCGCCCCTCTGCCCTTTTTCACACCTTATCCCCTCACTGATTGGAACTGCCACCCTAACTCCTCCCTACCAAGGCTTGTAATAGCAAATTATTTAACTGCCTCTTCATTTGATGGCATTTTAATTTTAATTGAAAAGCATTCCTCCTTGTAGAGATTGCTGGGCCCTTTCAGGAGCTGGTGGTGTATCTGCTTCTGCGAATGCAGGGGGTTGCTTCTACCTGCCACCAGCTCCAGCCTCTTTCTCAGAAGGAGAGGAAGCCAGGAAATCCGGGGAGATGCATTACATAGCATTACAGCTTCTAGGAGAACGACTCTGCCATTTACACATTAAAACCCTCCGGTTGATCATTTGTAATGATAGCGTAAACTTGATCATGACTTGATCACTGGTGCCATCTTTTCCTAAGAGTTAAGAAAAACCTGGCTTCGTGGGGTTTGGGTGCACATCATTTAGTAATTTAAATTGTTTTTATGCCTTCTATTATTTTTTTTCCTCCTACACCTTGTAGCTGGAAAGATATGTCTACCAAGAAAAATGCATTGCATTAGAGAATATAATTACTTTCCATGTTTAATTAATTGAACAATTAATCTGATCATAAGCTTGAAGTGACTACCCTCATTATGAGATTGAAGTGATATAATTCCATGAAGCAAAAGGATTTATAACCTTATGTATCCTGTTTGGGCAGGAGTACAGCCAAAAGTTTGCAGATGAGAGCAGCTAGGAGAGGCAGAAGATGTTATGTCCAGAGGATGTGACACTCAGTGGATTAACATTTTTGCTTGTGAGTGAAAACGTGGAAGTGGGTTGAGTGACTAAACGTATGATGGAAATAAATAGCAGGGCCCGTGAGAGTGCGAGAATGGCAACACTACTCAGAGCCATTTCTTCTAAGCTGCACCAGCCTCTGTATCCTCAGTCCTCCATACCTCCCCTAGTTGCTGAGTTGTCAGGGCCCAGCCAGTTTACTCTCCAGCCATCTTGTGAACCACCTTAAAACCTTTCTCCAATAAGATATGCTGTAAAGTATAGCTTTTTTACATTTACTTTATTTAGAGAAAAATTTTAACCCTCAAACAATACAGTACGGGGTTATATAAGAGAAAAAGTTGAGATTTACCCTTCCTCAATGTCACATCCCTACCACCAAGTTAATCTCTGAGATTAATGTGTTTATACTTACAAATCATTTCTTGATATAGTTAGATATATACACATACACACACATACACACACAAACACACAGATGTATAGTTTTGTACATCTAAATGTTGTATTATATATATTATATTATATATATATATAACATTTAGATGTACAAAACTATACATAGGTGATAATATAAATATTACCACACTATGTGTCTAATCCTACAACTAGATATTTTTTTNGGGATGTTGTTACTTGCCCCTTCTACCCAATGGGGTTATAAAAAGTCTCCAGTGAAATGATTTACATGAAAGTACTTTATGAACGGGAATGGTCTCCACCTACAGCGCTGGTCCCTGCTAACACTTTCTGCCTCCTCTTCCTTCACTGGTCCAGCCACTCCCCTGTTGTGTTTCCCAAATACTTTGCAAAGGCTTAACTGGTATTATGTACCCCTTCAGAAGATGGTCTAACGATCAAATAAGACCAAGATGGCAACAAAGAAAGGCCATTGAGACTTCAAATGAAAATGTTCAAAAGCAAAAGCTATTAGGCTCAACAAACAAATGTTTCCATAGTGTGTGTTTCAAGGTATCCTTTGAAGAGGCAGGAACATTGGAAAGGATTTGCTGTGTTAAGATCCTTGTGTTTTCCCTTCTGTCCCAGGAGCCCCCGAGGTGCCAACCAATGTCTGTCTCATGGTAACCAGCAGCACATCACTCACTGTCAGCTTCCAAGAGCCTCTTAGTGTCAACGCAGCTGTAGTAACCAGATATAAAGGTACTGGACTCCAGATATTTTTTTATTGCTCCTTCTTAAAAAACAATCCATCGTTTGGGGATCAGTTGTGCATTTTGTATGTTTGTTTACCCGCTTATAGGCTGTCTTTTCCATCCCATTTGCTTTCGGAGTTGAAATATTTCCATAGGCACTCATGTGCAGAATGAATAAGGTGACTGAGAAAAAGTCACAGCAAGGATGGAACCACAAGACCAGGCTGTCATTCCAAGCTCCTCAATTAATATTAGAATTTCAGTCCTGTTTGCAGAGGGCCTGCTCTGTGCACGGCATAGGGTTGGGGACAGGGCTGAGTAATACACGCTGAAGAGTCAGCCTGGATCCAAGGAGCTTACAGGCTGGGATATGGAACATGCTAAATAGGGGGGCATATAAATTGATAGCTGTAATGGCAGGTAACTAGTACTGAGCATTTTTTAAAAATCAACAGCAGGCAAAGTGCATTGGAGGTCTGAAAAGAAAGAGAGATGGGAAAATGATAGGCTAGGCTCAGAAAGACCCCAGGGCGGAGGTGGCGTTTGGGCCTGGCATTCAAGAAAGGCTAAGATTTGAACCAGAAGATAAAATAAACTCCAAGTGGAGAGAACAGTGAACACAGGTATAAAAGCCAGAACATGCCACAGGGGCAAGTAAGGGAGAACAGAGAACATGTTGAAGAAATAGAAAATAGCGTGGCTTCAGGAGAGGAGAGGGTGCGTGACAAGGGCCAGCGAAATGTAATATTACAGAGTGAAATTAGTGGTCAGGAGGTAAAGGTGGGATAAAGCTTGAAATCAAGATTAAGGATTTTAGACTTTATTTGATGAACTCCTCAGACCACTGAATAAGGACAAGATCGGAGGACTGAAAGATTGAAGTGGCGATACAATGTATGAAGTATTGGAAGATATGTGGATTTAGAATAAGGAAATGAATTATAAAGCTCTTCAGGAAAGGGGTTATGACAGCCTGACCCAGCTGCTGTAGCAGCGCCAGGAAAGGAGAGAGAGCTCAGAGGCGAAAGATATGATGGAGATGTTCTGGTGATAACAAGCCAAGGCTTACATAGGCCTACTATGTGCCAGGCACTGCTTAAAGCCTTAATATGTATTAACTCTATTTAATCTTCACAATTAACCCACAAGGTAAGTACTGTTATGATGCCCACTTTGCAGATGAGAAAACTCAGGCAATGAGGTTAAGAAACTTGCCTAACAGCTCACAGCAGAGCCAGAAGTATCCCATTATGTTGACGCTTGAAAGGTGGTGGACAAAAAAGAAAGAAATCTATGTTCCTGATTGACGAGGACATAGGGAAATACCTTGAACAATTCTGAAACCCGATAAATCTCTCCAAGCGTATGCCAAGATGCCAGGCCCCAAGGCAGGACTTCTGTGCTCAGGCCACTACTGCTCCCTTGGACCACAGCAGTGTCCAAGTAGTGTACCTGCTTCCTTTCTCCATCCCAGGGCCTTTCTCCAGGAGAACCTCCTATGTCTGCAGACATTACTCTGCCTACCCACGGTAGCTTTCTGAGGTATTTCTGGATAAGTCCACTCTCTGTTTATAATACTGAATTGGGTATCATTTGGGGTTTTCTGTATCATTCGAAGAGAAGGCAGCCTGAGGGTACTAGGGACAACAGATAAATGAAGCCACCCAGCATGACATCCCATAGCCACCCTTTGAAACAACAGTTCTGATACTTTCTCTTGGTTGTCTCATCTGCCAAGACCTCCTGAGGTTCAGAGCACGTGTTGGCAGGCAATGTCAGACATGGGCATTTTCCTCTCTTTTGACCTCTCTCCCGCTCAGGGTTTTTTGATGAAGGGTTTCGTCAGTGCCGTCCAAGTTGACATTTCCCTCATACATTTGGTTAGTGAGCTATCAGGAGCTAATTTATCCAGACTGCCAGTTATTTAATACTTGGCTACAATGCCAGAAAATTCTATCAGCGTTCACATATTAACAAGCCCCATCTCAAGAGACTTGCGTTTGGGTGAGGTTGAAATGAAAGGTCACAAGTGGGTTCTATTAGTGACTGGAGGAGATTAATTAAGCATTATAAATAGAATTGTCTGTTGCATTATGGAGTAGGTTTCCTTGTGTTAATTTATAAGGTCATAAATTGAGTCCTTAACCTGACCACTCTCAAGGGTTATTTAAAACAACTGGCAGCCTACTGTGCTCGGAGACAGAAGGA